CCCAAAAAACCAGCAGGAGACCCCAAAAGAACACCAGGAGAACCCAAAAAACCAGCAGGAGACCCCAAAAGAACACCAGGAGAACCCAAAAAACCAGCAGGAGACCCCAAAAGAACACCAGGAGAACCCAAAAAACTAGCAGGAGACCCCAAAAAACCAGCAGGAGACCCCAAAAGAACACCAGGAGAACCCAAAAAACCAGCAGGAGACCCCAAAAAAACACCAGGAGAACCCAAAAAAACACCAGGAGAACCCAAAAAAACACCAGGAGAACCCAAAAAAACACCAGGAGAACCCAAAAAAACACCAGGAGAACCCAAAAAACCACCACGAGACCCCAGAAAACCACCAGGAGAACCCAAAAAGACATCGGGAGAGCCCCAAAAAACATCAGGAGAACCCAGAAAACCACCAGGAAATCCCAAAAAAACGTCAGGAGGACCCAAAAAACCACCAAGAGACTCCATAAAACCATCAGGAGATCCCCAAAAACCATCAGGAGGACCCAAAAAACCTCACGACCCAAAAACCATCAGGAGGACCCAAAAAACATCACGAAACCCCAAAAAATCACCAGGAGACACCAAAAAACACCAGAAGAACCTAAAAAACCATCGGGAGAGCCCCAAAAAACATCAGGAGAACCCAGAAAACCACGAGACCCCCCAAAAAATCAGAAAATCCCCCAAAAACATCAGGAGAGCCCAAAAAACATCAGGAGATCCCAAAAACCAACAGAAGATCCCAAAAAAACATCAAGAGACCCCCAAAAACCATCAGGAGACCCCAAAAAACCATCAGGAGACCCCAAAAAACACCAGGAGAGTCCAAAAACCATGAGAAGACCTCAAGAAAACCATGAAGACACCTCAAAAACCATCAGGAAACCCCAAAAAGATCAGGAGAGCCCCAAAAACACCAGGAGACCCCAAAACCATCAGGAGCACCCAAAAAAAACAACAGGAGACCCAAAAAAACCACCAGAAAACCCAAAAAAACCATCAGGCCAATCCAAAGGCCACGAAAAGACCTCAAAAAAACCCCATGAAAACATCTCAAAACCCATCAGAACACCCCAGAAATGATGGTGGCATCCCACAAAAACATGAGCACCCCTCCAGAAATGATGGCGGCACCCAAAAAACCTCGAGGACACCCCATAAAACCTCAAGGAACCCCTGAAGAACCTCGATGAACACCCACAAAACCTCAAGGAACCCCCATAAAACCTCAAGGAACCCCCATAAAACCTCAAGGACACCCCATAAAACCTCGAGGAACCTCCGAAGAACCTGGAGGACACCCCAAAACACCTCAAGGAACCCCCGGACGGGGTCGTCCTCCACCTACCCCAGCTCCCGGAAGGGCACCTCAAACTCCAGCTCCTCCTTGGTGAGAGCCTCCACCTTCTCGATGAAGTTCTTGAAGGCCGTCTTCAGCTTGTGGCGCATCTCCCTCTCCATCTAAGCCGGGGGGGGGACACAAACAACGAGGTCACCTCATCGGCGTGGTGGCACCTCGAGGACCTCGC